AAGGGGGGCGTTAAAATTGGGCCCCCCCCTTTGGGCCCCCCCCCCCCCCCTTTGGGGGGAAGGGGGGGCCCTTTTTTCGGCCCCCCCCCGAAAAATGAACGGATTCGGCCCCAAGGTTGGAGGGGCCCTTCCCCCTTTTCCGTTCGGGGGGGGGGGAGCTTTTTGGGGGAACCCCCTTTTTTTGGGGAAGGGGTCCCCCTCCTCCCCCCAAATGCCCCCCTCAAGAACCTCGCCAAGAAGGGGGCGCCCCCCCCCAAGCCCCAAAAAATAACCCAAAATTCCCCCGAATTTGCAGGAGACCCCTTAACCCAACTCCTCCCTTTTGGGGCTGGGGGGGGGGGGGGGGAACCTCCCCCCCCCCCCCCCCCTTTATGGCTGCCGCCCGAGCCAACCCGAAGGCCCTCCCCCCCCCCCCCCCCACCCTCCCCCCCTCCCACCCACCCACCTTCCGCGCAGGCGCTCGTCGGCAACGCCACCGCCCTCGGCCGCGAGATCGCAGAGTGGGCGGTCAACACCGTCGCCGAGCTCCTGGCGCCTGAAGAGCCGGTCGGCGGCGGCGAGGCGGGCGGCGAGGCGGGCGGCGCGGCGCTGTCTGAGCTCGCTGCCGCCACCGCAGCGAGCAGGGCGCGGCAGCAGGCGGCGGAGGCGGAGCTGGCGCGTTTGCGGACGGAGGAGGCGGAGCGGGCGCCGGCGGCGCAGGCGGAGCGGGCGGAGTCGGCGGGGCAGGCGGAGCGGGCGGGTGGCGGCGGCGGCGAGAGGAGCGAGGAGGAGGCCAAGGCGGCGTGGCTCGCGCGGATGCAGGCGCCGACGTGGGGGCGGGCGGAGCGCGAGGAGGCTGCCAAGCAGAGGTGGCTCGCCAGCCTCGAGGCGCCCGCGTGGCAGCAGCAGGGGCAGCAGGGGCAGCAGGGGCAGCAGGGGCAGCAGGGGCAGCAGGGGCAGGGGCAGGGGCAGGGGCAGGCCGGAGCAGAGGAGGCCGGAGCAGAGGAGGCCTCGCCGGATAGCTCTGACTCGTTTGGCGAGCGCGCCGCGCTGCTCGCCTCGCTCGCCGCCGATGCGCTCTCCGGCGCGGCAAGGACGGCAGAGGTGGACTTTGCCGCCTACCGGGCGCTGCGGCGGAGCGGCAGGCTGGCCGCTGGGAACCGAGAGACGGGAGGGGGTGGGGCGGCTGGGCGAGTCACCGCTGGTCGTGTTGGCTGCACAGGCTGCCCACGCTGGCGGAGGAGGCGGCTGACCTCGCGCCCGCCCTCGCGCCCGCCCTCGCGCCGGTGCGGCGGGCGATCGGCGCCGCGGTCGGCGGCGGCGAGGACGGCGGCCGCTTGGCCGCGTTTGCGCAGCAGGATGCGCCCGAGGCGCAGCGCGTCACGCGGCTGCAGCAGCGGCAGCTCTCCGCGGCGCAACGGGAGCTTCGGTACCCCTCCCCCTCCCCCCCCCCCCCCTCTTCCCCCCCGTTGTGATGCACCACCCTGAAGCGGCGCTTCGAATGGGACAGGCTTGCCTCCGCCTTCGTCACTCGCGCCGCCAAGGACAGCTCAGACGCCGTCGCCCTTGGTGTGCTGCCTGCCGCTCGCGCGGCGGGGCGCGTGGCGGCGTCGCAGGCGGACGCCGCGCAGTCGGCCGGGAGAGGACACGTCCAGGACGCGCCCCTGACACGTGCCATCACAAACTTGCCACGCAGGCGGCCGCCGCGCTGCGTGTGCCAGGCGCCGAGGTGCGGCCGGCGCCGAGCAGTGCGGCGGTGGTGCGCGAGCTGGCGGCGGCGCTGAGGGACGAGTACGCCGCTTCGGCGGCGCAGGCGGCGCGTGGGTCGCCGTTTGCGCGGCAGCTGCAGCCGTTCGACGGTCTGACGTCGCCTCTCCGCGGCAGTGGCGAGGCGAGGGCCGCTCCGTCGCTCGCCCCAGGGGCCGTCTCCCCAGAGGCCCTCCCCTTGGAGGTGCCCCTCCCCTTGGAGGTGCCCCCCGTCGAGGAGGCGTACGGCGCGCCCTCCGCCGCACCCTCCGACGGGGCGCGCGGCGGAGGCTGGCGCGACTTGCGCGATGCGGCCACGCTTGCTAGAGGCGGCGGCGGCGCGGGGGGAGGGGCACCGCCGGTCGATGGGGCCGGCAGGCAGCAGTTCGACGTCGGGTTTGACCCGCGCGTCGTCGAAGCCGCCGTCAGTGGCGCGCTCAGTCGTGGCGGCGCGGCGCCTCTGAGCCGAACGCTAGGGCGTGTCGAGGAGGAGGAGGAGGAGGCGTTCGTGTTTGACGTTGCGGCGGTGGAGGTGGAGGACGAGGCCGAGTCGCAGCAGAAGAAGGCCCTCGCTCTAGCCGACGCGGCGCTCTTTGCCGCCGAGGCGCGCCCGGCCCGCACACTTGTGCCCACGGGACCATCCTCCAGAGGCCTTAGCAGCCGGCCTTCGCTTGCGGCGCTAGGTGCTCGCCGAGACGCTCGGGCGAGCGACCCGCCGCACGAAGCAGGAGCTGGAGGCGGAGGAGGAGCGAGAGTGGGAAGCGTTGCGCGCTTTCACGCCGGAGGAGGTGGCCGGTCGGCAGAGGGAGGAGGAGGCGTGGGCGGCACTGGTCGAGGCGGTGACGGAGGTGATCGAGCGGGAGTGAATGATGAATTGTCTGTGAAAGATATGGTACTGGGACGTAGCACGTACCTGTCACACCATGCCCGTATTTTGCACAAATTCACATTTGGGCAGCTGGGCACATCCACAACCACATCGCGCAGTTCGCACATACCCCGTACGACATACGGCTTTATGCCCCGCATCGCGGCATGTCGTGTAAAGTCGTACTGAACGTACGTACGGCTACCCACGGGTTAACGTACGGCCTACGCGCGGGGCGACATACGTCAGTATAAACTATTAGTAATCTCAAGCCGTACGGGGTGTGCATATGGAGCATGGAGCGCGGGGGGACGGAGGACACACCTACGGCTCGAATATCTCTGATTCCGGGGGTCCTCCGCGTGTGGACTGTGGTCGCTCCATCTCCGTCCCCGCACCCCGGGGGCAGTTATATTCGGCGCTTTCTTTTGTTTATGGGGAGCAGAAAGAACGAGACATCGCCGCGCGACGCTCCCTCGCTCCCTCGCGGCCTGCTCGCGGCCCGCCACACTGCTGAGGTCTCGGACCCTGCCTATCAGCCTCCGCGGGGCTCGGCTTCGCCCCGCGTAATATCTAATTACGGCAGTTCCGCGTGTTCCGTCCGTCCTTTTTCTCAAGACTCCTTTTATGAAGCAAGACGTAGACATCGCGACGCCTTCTCGCGGCCTGCCACACGCCGCCGAGGTCTCGGCGTGTCGGGCTCTCTGCCCCAGACACTTGTCGTTTCTGGTTGGTGTCTCTCCTTCAGACGCGGTCGGTCTCGCCTGCCTTCCCGGAGGCTACACAGTCTGGTTTTGCCACAAACTCATCGATAAACATAGCATATCCGTACACGAGAGAGAAGTGGCGCAAGTGCTCTCAGTGTCTCCGATGAGTGGACAGTCGATCAGTGAGGAGGCTCAGCGCGCCGGGGCGAACTCCAAAGACCGAAGAAGAGTAGGCCGACTCAAGATATGAAACCTGCCGGTGGAGCCTGCCAATGGCATCAACGTCGCGAAGGGAACAGTGGCACATGTGATGAACGATTTCGGCACCCCAGTGCAAGCTTGCCTGCCACGTCGGTCAGAGCCAGAGAGACGCAGAATTGAACCGGCTCACCAGTAGCCGTAGCCGTAGCCGTGGCCGTAGCGCTCGTAGTCCGGGCCGTAGTACGAGCCCGGGTTGTATGCCTTGCGCGACTTGTCAACTGCATCGAAGGCCGCCTTGTTGCCGTACCGCTTGTCCTGCGCCAGGACCACCTGCGCCTTGCAGTAGATCTTGCTCGCCTTGCCGTACCACGTGGCCTCCTTGTGCGGCAGCTTCTTGAGGTCGCCGTCGGTGAGCCGGTGGTAGCCCTTGGCATTGGACGCGGCCATGATCCCGCCGCCGGCCTTGACCGCGCATCGTAGCCCCTGCGCATCGTAGACGTACCGCGTCTTCTCCTTCTTGCGGTCGCAGAGAGCGCAGAGTGGAACGCCAAAGTCCGGATGGTCGGCGCACCGCCGCTGCCGGCAGTGGACCTGCGAGCGGGGAGAGGAGCACTTCAAGGGTAGGTGGAAGTGGAAGGGGAGAGGGACGGTGAGTCGTGGGCGCGCACGCAGACGCCATTGAGCCCGCGCATCATCGCGTCGAGGAGCGAGCCCTGTGGTGCGGCGACGGCCGAGGAGGATGCGGCGGCGGCGGGCGACGCCCAGTCTGCGACAGCCTCCGCGAGGAGAGGCAGCTTCGGCCCGAGCGCGGAGGCGAGCGGCTGCCAGAAATGCGTGGCATCGCCGATGGCGAGGTTGATCGTCTTGCAGGTTCGAAGGAGTCGGAACGACGCGCGGAGGGCGGCCAGATCGTCAAGGCTCGTGTCGACGAACGAGACAGTCAGGGCGAGGACGTCAGCGTCGAGCGAGGCGAGGCCGAAGCTGACGGCGGCGCCAGGCGCTCCAAAAGCCTGCCGTTTGAATGCTGGCGGGCCGGTCGGCGTGCCTGAAGCCGGAGCCTTTCCCTTGGGCGACACACGCCGGTCCGCCGCCTTCACCGTGGCCTTTTTCGTGTGGTGCCCCCACGCCCACTCGTCCAGCGAGATGTGCACCGGCATTTCCTTCTGCTCGTCGTCACTCGCAAGGTCATCGAAACGGACAGTGAACTCCTCCTCGGTTTGATTTGTGACAGTGCCGCGCCACGCCTTGTCGCGCGCAGGAGGCTTTGACGCGTACCACACCGTGATCATCTTCTTGCTGTCAGCCTCGGGCGTGTCGGGCATCGCACCCTCGTCGGCGGGTTGTTGAGCGAGGTCCACCAGAGCCGCAGCGGCAAGAGCCATATGTACACACACGCCGTAGTACAGAACAAAAAGAATGCACGGCGCGCTCTGTCTCCCTCTCTCTCTCTCTCTCTCTCTCTCTCTGTGTGTGTGTGTGTGTGTGTGTGTGTGTGTGTGTTCTTGTGTGTGTGTGCGTGTGTTAAGTGTAAATTACTCACACTCACGAACAACGGCGGGTTATCGTCAAGAGCGGAGTGCGCCACACGATCACACCTCCATAACCCGCTCCAGTCTCTCACTCTCTCAGAGAAGGAAGCGCACAAAGCCTTGCTGGGCGAGGGCGAGGCAGATGCGCTCTTCGCACGCGGCGTCGTGGTTTGCGGTGTGCGCATCGTCAAAGTAGTGGATCCGCCCGCCAATCTCCCGGAAGTGGTCGAAGCCCAAAAGCGTCACGTGCTCAGCGGTGGCGGAGAGGATGTCGAGCGGCGGCGGCCGCGCCTCTTGCGGCCGCGAGTGCGGCGTCGGCGGCGGCGGCGCGGGGAGGGGCGGCGTGGAGGGCGAGCTGGGCCGCGGCGGCCTCGCTGGCGCCCAAGGAGCTGAGGGTGGCGACAACGGCGAGGGAGGGCGAGGCCAGGGGAGGGGCGGCGGCGTCGAGGGCGGCGTCGATTCCGGCGCCGCCTCCGCCCCAGCCAGGTCCGTCGCCACGCGCCACCGACGCTGGAGGTGCAGGTGCCACACAGTGAGCAGCCTGCGCGGCGGGCGTTCTATGTTTCCTTTCCATGTCTCTGCACTACAGAGAGTTGAAAGGGGACCATCGTGCTCGGAGGTTGAGG